ATTTGCACACTTGCAGCGCATCTTCTCTCTCACTCTTCAGCAGCAGCAGCATATATTCTCTCTCACCTTTTTTTTTTGTTCAGAAAATGGGGTTTCCGGCAAATGGTTGTCCGGCCGACTCAATAGAAGCTGCCGGCGGCCGTGATCTTTACGAAGATTCCGAATTGGGTGACTACGAGGTGAGATTCAAGTCGCTGCTTTACAGAATGGTGTGGGATTTCGGTTTCGGCTGCGTGATCCCGCGCCGCCACCGTCTGCTGATCTCCGGCGAGAATGGGACGGCGGGCGACGGTGGTGGCCGGGAGCACAACAAGGCGTGGCTACTGGCGGAATCTGGCGGTGGGTGCGGCTTGGACGAGCCCAAGTCGGTGCACTCGTCCTTCAGGTTCAGTTTGTGTTCTCAGGTGGAGCTCGAGTCCATGGCCGTCAACAGTAGCTGCTGCTCTTCCGCAACCGTGCTCATGGTGAACTTGGACGGTGGGGTTTTGAGCAATTCCAAGTCCGGAGAGTCGAGGGGAAGAAGGATTGAGTCCTTGGAGAGGAGCATAAACCCTGTGGCGCACTCTCTGGTTAGGTTCACATATTCTCAAATTCTTAAGGCCACCAGAAATTTCTCTAAAGGTACCCAAATTGAAGTCATCTTTGCTGTTGGTACTGTTTTGCAAATTAAGAGGGGTGGTTGTGTAATTTTTGGAAAATATGTGAGAATTTACTGTTTGTATTTTGCAGGTAGAGTACTGGGGAGAGGGGCTTTGAGCTGTGTGTTTAGGGGAAGAATTGGATTTACAAGGACTGCAGTGGCAATTAAGAGGCTGGATAAAGAGGATAAAGAGTCTTCAAAGGCATTCTGCAGGGAGCTGATGATCGCGAGCTCTTTGCATAATCCGCACATTGTGCCGTTAGTCGGGTTCTGTATGGATTCGGACGGTGGTCTTTTTCTGGTCTACAAGTATGTCTCCGGTGGGAGCCTCGAGCGGTTCTTGCACGGTATAATTTCACTTCATTCCTTTGTTTAATCTAATGATCAAGAAAAGGAAAAGAATGATATCGTGGTTTAGTGGAGTTACGGAAAAAGATAAACTCTGGCTTTCGTAATTGCAAATGTGCATCGTTTTTTTTTACTAAGTTTAATCGTTCTTTGCCGCGATGTTGATTCGAGATGGTAATTAATTGTCCAAGTGCAGAGAAGAAAAGAGGAGTGAGAGGTAATTCTGCACTTCCATGGTCAGCTAGGTATAAAATCGCCTTGGGAATAGCCGAGGCGATCGAGTACTTACACTATGGGACTGAAAGATGTGTTGTTCATAGGGACATAAAACCCTCAAACATCCTTCTTTCCTCTAAAAGAACACCAAAGGTAAAGAGAAAAAACTCCTTTTTATCTTACCAAGTAATGCAAAACTCTTTCACTAGTATATCTTCTTTGGTCAGATTTTATTCACTTGCTTAATGTGACTTGTTAAACAGTTGTGTGACTTTGGCCTCGCGACGTGGACTCCTTCGCCTTCGGTTCCGTTCCTTTGCAAGACTGTTAAGGGCACGTTTGGGTATGTGTTGCAGCTAATAATTAACTCGATGTTCCGTCTCTTTTTTTTTTTACAGGCTCATGTGTTTTTGAATCAAACAGGTACTTGGCTCCCGAGTATTTCCAGCACGGTAAAGTGTCTGATAGAACCGATGTTTATGCATTTGGTGTTGTGCTCTTGGAATTGATAACTGGACGGAAGCCGATCGAGTCGAAAAGAGGAGCTGGGGAAGAAAACTTGATTTCCTGGGTAAGTTGAAATTTACACCCAACTCTTGGCTTTTGTCTAAGGGCAATTTGTAATGCTGAGAGGTTTGAACAGCTCTGCAAACTTTACTTTCAATTAGCCATCACCCACATGTTTAGCATTTCCATGTTAAAAAAAAATATATATAAAATGAACGAGAATCACGAGAGGGGGTACATAAAATTATAAGGTTTTTGAGGTTTATGATTATTTGTGATTTTTTATTTTTTATTTATTTTTTTTTTACATATTTTGCATCGAAATCGTGTCGTAAAGATGGACCTTTTTTTTTCCCAACTGTTTTATAGGCGAAGCCGCTACTGCAGCTGGGTAGTTTTGAAAAATTGGTGGGTCCACGGCTGAGATTCAGCCAGAAGAACACGAAGCAGATATCCCGCATGGTTCGAGCTGCAGATGCTTGCTTAAACAACGAGCCACGCAGGCCTGAGATGGGCGAAATCGTCACAATTTTAAGCGGGAATGAAAAACGAAAGAAGGGTCTCTTGCCAATAATTAACTCTGGTATGGTTGATGCTCACCATGAGTTGCAACGTACAAAGAGCGAAATGAAGAGCCATTTTGCACTAGCGATGCTCGGTGTCGAGTTTGAAGACGATGACTATCTTTACTCCCGGTGACACTCAGTAACCTCGAGACTTCCTTTTTTTTTCCCCTGCTTTTTCCCTTTGTTTTAGATAGTGCTAAAATGAAGCAAGCTCTGTATATAGATATGACTGAGTTCTCCAGTTTTTACCATAAAAGAAAAAAAAAAAGAGAAGAAAAAGAGAAAAA